AAAAAATATTTTAACAGAAAAACAAGTGCTTATAACTTCGCTAAATTATTATATGAAATATGTTGCTTTCAACATCTTTAAATTTTTATTGTATTCCATTATGTGTCATGGAAAACATACATGTAGACCTTATTTTTAATCCTTTATTGTAAAAAGGTTTTGACTTTATAAAGAATTTTATTAGTTTATCTTTTGCACGGTGTCAACGTTTATTTGTGCCCATCCTGTTGCCTTTCATTCCACTAGACCAACTTAGAATATCTCAGAATCCATCTCAAAATTTAATCTTCTATTTTTAAATTTAATCTTCTTAAAAAATTTAATCTTCTTAAAAAATTTAATCTTAAAAGAACATTTAAAATTTTATTGCTTAGTTTTGAACACTGAAAGTGTATCTTTCATCCAATTTATTAAAAGAAAAAACACATTTCTGCCTGCTTATTCCCTGGGTCTTCATTTTAGAATCATTTAAAGAGTTTTATGCAGAATGGTTTACTGAATATCTACTGTAGTTCTCCCTAGGAAAATGAATCTTCTGTAATTGAAGAAATCTACACAAAGAGTTAGGGACATAATTCCAATTAACACTGTGCAGATGCAGACAGGATGTGCATGTTTGTGCTTCAGTATTAACTAATTCTGCTTTAATTTGATTAATTAATCATTGATTGGTCCTACTTTATTATAGAAATGGAGAAAAAATTGGAACTTGAGCACTTCTTTCCTATGATGTTTAAGAATGTATTTACACTGTATGCAGAATGTCAGGTACATGTCCTGTTTAACAACTGAATTCATTAAGGATATTTCACATTATTTTGTTAGAAGTAACTGGCATTTGTTCATTGCATAGCACGTGGTAGGCATGGTGCAAATTTTTTTTTTTTTTTTTTTTTTGGTCTTTTTGAGACAGGATCTTGCTATGCAGTTCAGGTTGGCGTGAGCTCACTTAATAGCCCAGGCTGGTCACAAACCTGCAAGATCCTCCTGCATCAGCCTCCTGAGTGCTGGGATTATAGGCATGTGGTACCATGCCTAGCTTGTGCAAAATTTTTTGAGATGTTTTATCTCATTTATTCCTACATCATCCTATGTTATTATTATTATTTTTTTGGCACTGGTAATCAAACTCAGGACCTTGCACTTGCCAGGCAGGCACTTAGGCCACTGACTGAGCTATATCCCTGGCTCTACATCATCCTATGGATAAAAATAGTTTTTTTTATTTGTTTGTTTTTTGTGGAGACCTTGTCTGGCTATGCAGGTCAGGCAGGCTTTGAACTCACTAAGTAGCCCAGGGTGGTCTTGAATCTTCCTGCATCAGCCACTTGAGTGCTGGGACTGCTGGGACTGCTTGTGTGTACCACTACACCCAGCACTATTTTTTACACAAATGAGGAAACTCAAATGTAAAGAGATTAAATAATCTGTCTAGAGTCTCCCTTTGTATTAATTTTTAAATTGAGGTTGGATTCCAAAGAGTTTGCCTCAGAGGCCCCGGCTAATCCACCACTTTTGGGAGGGACAATGCTGGGGATTGAACCCTGGGCCTTTGCACAGAGCTGTATCCCCAGCTTTTAAAATTTTTGTTTTGTTTTGTTTTGAGGTGGGGTCTTTTCAGATGGCCAAATCTTGCTCAGATTTGTGGTCCTCCTGCCTCAGCCTCCCAAACTGCTGACACTGCAGTGCTGCACTATGATGCCCGCCCTGCCCACCTTCTGAAATGGCTCAAACCTGCTAGTTTCATGCTTCTTAGAAAATGAAGATATTGCTGGGTGTGGTGGCTCATGCCTGCAATCCCAGCACTCAGGAGGCTGAGGCAGGAGGATCACCAGGAGTTTGAGGCCAGTCTGGGCTACATAATAAGCTCAAGGCCAGCCTAATCTGCATAGCAAGACCCTATCTCAAACAACAAAAAAAGGGAAAAAAGAAAAAAAGAACATGAGACTGTCATATATCTGTGTTTTCTTTCTTTTAAAATTGCACTCTGTGTGTGTGTGTTTGTCTTTTTTGGGGGGACAGGATTTCACGATGCAGTTCAGGCAGGACTTGAGCTCACTTTGTAGCACAGGTGGGCCTCAAACTTACAATGATCCTCATGCCTCAGCCTCCCGAGTGCTGGGATTACAGGTGTGCGCCGCCATGCCTAGCTAATAAATATATCTTTATGGTAAAATTTGCTATGAAATCAGTGAAAATTATTCATGATTAGCGTTGTCAAAATTACTTTCAGTCCTATGATGAACCTGTAATGTCGGTATTTCTTGCTGTCTCATTACACCATCAGGAAAATGCTAGGGAAATCTGTTGAGAATACCGGTCAAATCCTGTATATTACATTGGTGTGTTATCTATTATGTTCAAAAACTTTATTTATAAAAAAGGATTTTACTGGGCTGGGGATATAGCTCAGTGGCACACGTGCCTGACTGGCAAGTGCAAGGTCCTGAGTTCGATTTCTGGTGCCAAAAAAAGGATTTTGCTATATAATTTTAAATTCTGAAAACAGCACAGATTATTAGTTTATTTGCTTAATAAATGAGATTAGCTTTATTTACTCTATTATAAATGTAAAGTGATACTACTTAAGGCCACAAAATAGCAAATATATGATTATATTAACTGCTTTTTTAATATACAAATTTGATCATAAGCTTCAGTTTTATTTATTTAAATTAAGGACCACTGATTATGATTTATTTCTTATTTTGGCTGGCAGTGGTGGTGCATGCCTGTAATCCCAGTAATCGGGAGGCTGAAACAGTAGGATCTGAGTGTAGCTTGAGCTACATAGTGAAATCACGGTCAGCCTGAACTGCATAGGGAGACCCTGTCTCAAAATAAATAAATAAATAGACAAATTCTTTGATTTAGTTAAAGCTCCCTGTGAAATGTACTGAGGCCACAAACTCTCTTAGAAGGAGTCTTTTCAGCTTCAAGCACAAGTTGTTTTCATGCCTTAAACCCACATCAGAAGTGCGTTCGGTGCTAGTCTTTTGGGAGTCCGTGACACTTGTGTCCACAGTGCCCTCTAGCAACCAAAAAACGGGAAACTAATGGTCAGCCGAATTAAAAGTTCCAGGAAGTCAGGTGCGGTGGCGCACCCCTGTAACCCCAACACTAGGGAGGCTGAGGCAGGAGGATTGCTGCGAGTTTGAGATTAGCGTGGGCTACAAAGTGAATTCAAGACCAGTGTGAATTACAAAGATTTACAAAGCGAGTCCCTGTCTCAAAACAAAACAAAAACGAAAATTTGGAGAAAAGGTGGACGTCCACGAACAAGAATTACTACGCTCATACGAAGAGAGTTTTTAAAAATATTGATGTCAATGCTGAAACACAGCCCATAACTGCTGCGGGGCGTATAATTTATGATTTCCTGCAAAAATACAAGAATACTGGCCCATTCCCATGTTTCTTGTCACTTCCTGCAGTAATTCAAGAAGTACAGGTTGCTGTGCATTCTATTAAGTCGATTTCATTTACAAACAACATGTCCCGTACCATAACGTGGTCTGATACGCGTTCACGGAGTGTGAAAATAGTTGAATTTGCACTACGTGATGTTTATCCTTGAGTAATTATATATGGGTGTTCTGACATTTTTCTCTTCAACCACACTATGTACGTCACGAGATCAATTAAATCTTCTAGGCTAAAGTTTTGATAGGTTATCCTTTAAAACATTTTCCAACATAACCAGTGTGCTTTCGGTTCAAATCTCCACCGCGCGGCTAAACACCTGGTATCCCGCCGCCCTGACTCTCTCGGAACCAAAACACACAAACGCTTCCGCCCCGGCGCCGCGTTCTGCAGGAAATACGTCATCTCCCCGCGCAGCCGCCAAACGGGCAGAGCGCGGCGGGGCTGACGTCAGTGCCCAGTGCCGCCTGAGCGGAGCGGGACGTGAGTGCTGCCCCTCCCCCGGGTTTCGTTTTTGTTTTGTTTTTGTTTTGTTTTTGTTTTTGTAGTTTTTTGTGTTTTTTTTTTCGGTATCGGGAATCGAACTCACCACCTTGCGCTTGCCACGCAGGCGTTTCGCCGCTGAGCGAAATCCCCAGCCCCCCCGGGTTTCGTTTTTGTCCCGACTGTTTTTGTCACCACGGGGCTTGTGTTGATTCGTTGTGGTCCCCGCTGTTTCGCTATTTTCTGTTATAGTGACCTCTGGAAATTTCCCATTAGTCACATTTCCTACAAAGCTTTTGGTGTGTAATTTACCTTTATTTATTTTATTGTATTTATTTATTTATTTATATTTTTTATTTATTTTTTTTTTTGGTACGGGGAGTGGAACTCAGGACTTTGGGCTTGCCAGACAGGCGCTGTGCCACTGAGCTGTCTCCCCTTCCTGTAACTTACCTTTAAATTTTTCCTTTGCAGGCTTCCTATTATAGTTTTGGCTTTTGCTCTTTGCGTATTAACCTCGGTTTCGTTGGTGATTTTTTTTTTTTCCCCAGAAAAATATGTAGTTTCTACAACGCTGTTTGCTTTTTATACTTACTTTAATATGAAGCCATAATTTTATATCCTTCCTGTTCAATATTAATGATTTTCATTGCTTTACATTCGGATGAAAATTTCAAGTATTTTTCAATAATAGCGCACTATTTCATTTTATTTTTATCTTATTTTTGAGCCAGGGTCTCACTATGTAGTCCAGGCTGGCCTTGAGCTCACTGTGTAGCCCAGGCTGGGTTCAAACTCTGAGATCCTCTTGCTTCAGCCTCCTGAGTGCTGGGATGACAGGCCTCAGCCCCCACCCTAGCTCTCTTCCTGCTTTCAACAAGTTACCTTTATATTAGAGGATTTCTAGAGATTTTTAACTTGAACTTCCCTGGAGTCTCCATATTCTATGATGAAGTACTGTTTTTGTGGTACTGGCAGTCGAACTCAGGGACTCACGCTTGCCAGGCAGGCTGTGTGCCACTGAGCTGTATCCTCTACCCTACTGCTTTTATTTTTTTTTAAGTTGTATAAGGTTGGAAGCTTCACAAATACATTTTAGAACAGCTATTAGACCTTGCTTTTCTGTGTATTCTGACTGCCCCTACTCTGTCTTCCTCTGCTTCACCTTAAAACTGATCATTCAGTCCGAAAATTATTCAATTGTTTTTTCTTAGGCCACTCTCCTAGTCCTGGATGGCTCCCCCACCCCATCTCTTCCTCTTTCTTTTCGTTTTTTCTGTTTTTTCTTTCAGTCTTTTTGAGACAGGGTCTTGCTATGCAGTTCAGGCTGGCCTTGAGCTCATTTTGTAGCCCAGACTGGCCTCGAACTCCCAACAATCCTCCGGCCTCAGCCTCCCAAGTGCTGGGATTACAGGCATGCACCACCACGCCCGGCTGTCTTTCTTTTCTTGAAAACTATTAACCAAACTCCATAGTTCAGAAGTCAGCATTTTAAAAATTGTAAGGTATTAGACATTGTTAATTCTAAATTGCTCAGTGTTTGAAGTTTTATAGATCCTTTGATCTCTGGCACCTTGTCACCCCTGTGGCAGGAGCAGTGAGGCAGAGTAAATAGTATGTAAATGGCCAGGCCTGGAAATATCTAGAAAAGCTTCATTACAAGTGCACACCTTCAAAGAAGGGGATAATTTCTGACCCTGTATCTCACAAGGCTCCTTCTCACAGGAAATACTGCTGTAGTTGACACCTAAAATCATGGATTTTTTTGTTGATTTTACCTTAATTTTGTAATTTTGACGAAATTTTTAAAGCAGTATCAAAGAATATAAGAGAAAAAGAAGGAATCTCTATATAAATATACTAAGGTCTGCGTACAAATTGCTATTGTTATTTTCTATAATATTGTTAATTATGTCTTGTTAACTGTCCTAATTTTTTGAAATAGGAACATACTCTGACAATTAAAATGAAAGAAAGTGGAAAAATGTTTAAAATTGTGATTGAAAGTCCACCTTGTAGCACTAATTTCAGCAATTGAACATTGGCATGCACTACCAATATTATGGGATGGAGGCCCTCCTTTTCTTTCTTATGCTTATAAATACATTAATAGGTATCATTACATTTGCTTCTTTGTGTGTTATGAAAAAAAATTTAGTGATACTTGTTAAAGAATGGTGAGGACAGCCCGGTGTGGTGGCACACACTTGTAACCCCAGCACTGGGGAGGCTGAGGCAGGAGGATTGATGGGAGACCAGCCTGGGCTACCAAGTGAGCTCAAGGCCAGCCTGAACTGCACAGTGAGACCCAGTCTCAAAAAGACAAAAAAAAAAAAGAATGGTGAGGACCATCAGCATTACCATAGTTTTAGAGATGATGACATTGAGATTTTTTTACATAAATTACTATATTTTATTTTTATTTTACTTAGAAAATCTTACATAGTACTATGTTCAATGAATTTACATCTATTAGCTTATTTCATAAATAAAATAGAAAATGGAAACTACTTCCAATCCTACTCCCGTTCCCAAGATAACCCTGAGACACCCCCTAGATAACCATGCTTAGTCATTTGAGGGATTTGTGTACAGCGTCTTTTCATTGAACATGAGTTTTTAGAAAATTTTGTCATGTGTCCTTCTAGTGGTGTTTTTAAAAAAGTTTTTGTTATGGTTACTTGGTTTTTATTTCATTTCATTTATTCCTTTATTTATTTATTGTCTTTTTGAGACAGGGTCTTGCTTATGCAGTTCAGGCTGGCCTTGAGCTCACTTTGTAGCCCAGACTGGTTTTGAACTCCCAAAGATCTTGTTGCCTCAGCCTCCCGAGTGCTGAGATTGCAGGCTTGCACCACCATGCCCAGCTAGTTACTTGGTTTTTAATTTAAATTTATTTTTAACTGATACAGAAAATCATTAAAATGTACAATTTAGGGGGTAAAGGAAGTGAGGTTTTGCAGTGAGGTAGAGAGAATTAGCTAAGGTATAAACACAGCATGGACAAGTAGGAATTTATAACCAAGAAGCAGGGTGAGGATCAGTGGATGGGGAATTACCAAGATTTAGTAGCACATAGGGGTCTTTGGCTAAATTGACAAAATGGGATTCTGGCAAAAGAGCTTGCTGGCAAATGCTAGGATGATTAATCTCAGCACCCAGGGGGCACATATGAGGGCAGAGCTATCAGAGGGTAAAAGAGGGAGGACATGAAGGGATTCAAGGGGGAGGAGGTTTCAAGGGTGGGATTCTTGTTAAACTAATTGAGTACAGTTGTTATTACAGCTGGATTTTAGAAGTACACAAGTGGGCCTAAAAAAAGGCCCCAAGCCCGGTGAGGTGGTGCATGCCTGTAATCCCAGCACTCGGGAGGCTGAGGCCGGAGGATTGTTGGGAGTTCGAGGCCAGCCTGGGCTACAAAGTGAGCTCAAGGCCAGCCTGAACTGCATAGGGAGACCCTGTCTCAAAAAGACAAAAAAAGAAAGAAACACAAAAGAAAGAAAGAAAGAGAGAGAAAAAGAAAAAGAGGAAGAAAGAGAAAATGTTAAAATGTATTTACAGTGTTGGAGCTGAGGTTGTAGCTCAGAGGTAGAGCACTTGCCTATCATAGGGAGGACCTGGGCTCACTCACCATCGCAGTCCCCAAATATATGTGTTTACAATTTTAATACAACAATTAAAAATATAGCAGTCAGTGCTGAAGTGCTGAACTGTGAGAAGCCACCCTCCTCTCTGCAGTCACCATGTCTTCACCTTCAGGATGAGCAGCTGGGCGTGCTGGTGCAGACCTGTAATCCTAGCCCTGAGGAGGCTGAGGCAGGAGGATCTTGCGAGTTTGAGGCCAGCCTGGGCTACAGAGCTCAAGGCCAGCCTGAACTGCATAGTGAGACCCTATCTCAAAAAAAAAAAAAAAAACCCTGCAAATACAGAATGAGCAACATCATATGTTTTGTTTGTTAATTGCCTTCCGGTCAAATCTTCCACATGACTTGTTTTTCTGTTTTTTTTTTTTTAAATTAATAAATTTTATTGGAAAACAGCTATACCCATTAATTTATGTATTATTTATAGCCATCTTATGCTAAGACAGCAAATTCCAATAGTTTCCAGAAAAAACGTTACCCAAAAGCCAAAACTATTTACACTCTGGGCTTCAATCCCACCACACAATATTCAGTCTGGAGCTTGGGAAGTTCAGCCTTTGGTGTGCAAATGAAAATGAGATACAGACTTGGCAGTTGGAGCGGGGGTGGGGGGGGTATAAATCTTAGAATTTTAAAGGAGTTGCAAGGGATCCCTTTCAGAGCCTTTTTTTTTTTTGGTTTTCTTCCAGTACCAGGAATCGAACTCACAACCTCGCGCTCGCCAGGCAGGCGCTGTGCCGCTGAGCTAAATCCCCAGCCCCCCAGAGCTTTTCTCTTTCCAGAACTTGTTGGGGTTTTCAGTTCCCTTGGGTTCTCCTTTCAGCCCTCTGGCCAAAATTTCAGTTGTACGGGTGGTCAGAGGACACAGAAAAAAAGTAAAAATCAGGGAGTTTATGGCAGAGGGAGGTTCTGGGTTCAGTTACCAGGAGGATGGTATGGTTGACCCTGCTATCCTGGGCCTCCATCTCTTCCAAGTAGTGAGACTCTCCTCTCAGATTGGTCCCGTGAGCTCACTTAATCGCCATTGGCCGTGACAACTGGAAGGCCTGAGGGGTGGAGGGAGAGCAATCTGAGGCAAGAACAAAGGTAGGGAAGAAGGGGATTCTGCAGTCCCAGAGTCCCCTTTTCAGTCCTCGGGCCTGGAACTAAAGGCCTCCTCCTGGAGCCATTCCTCTGCACCACAGTGTTCACTTGGAATTTCTGCATGTTTACGAAAAGGGAAAACTCATCTCTAGTTCAGTAGTACTTAACAGTACTGCACTTGGTTTTGACCCTTGAAAGCACAAGTTATTTTATGAGCTATAATATCCCTTGTTATCTCCTCGCCTTTAACTCCCTTGACATCTCCTCCCTCTTCTGTGCTTTGATAGCTCTGCCCTCATACGTGCCCCTGGGAGCGGATGCTTAATCATCCTAGCCCTTGCCAGCAAGGCTCTTCCCCCAGAATCCTACGGTCACTTTCAGAGTCTGCAAATAGCTGTTTCATGCATCTCATCCAACTTGTATACCTGTTTTTAATTACAGGCCTCAGCAAACTTACTCTTTCTCTTTTCCTAAAAGGGCGGGCTCTAGCTGGGTGTGGTGAACACACCTGTAAACTCAGCACTTGGGAGGCTGAGGCAGGAGATGTTGTGAGTCCAAGGCCAGCCTGGGCTACAGCGTGACCTCAAGGCCAGCGCAAACTGCATAGCGAGCCCTGTCTCAAAAAGGTGAAAAAAATAAAGAGCTTTAGTGTTAACCTGTGTTAATTCTTTGTGAATTTTAGTGAATATTTGAGAAAATACTTCTATTCATCATTTCACTATGTTTTTCAATGTAGTTTATTTATATTCTTAGGAAATTTTGAATAGTTATCAATTATAACGATTTTGGCACCTAGTTTGGTTATCTGAACAATAACGCCACGTGTAATATGCAGTATTGTACAGTTTATTAAACAGTTTCTACTTCAGCAACAAATACAATTGCAGAGACTTAACTGAGTGTATGATTCCTTCTGCTTTCATAGCAGTGTGAAACCCCAGCTCCTGAACCTTGCAGAAGAAAACCCGGAAGACTGGAAACCAAGGGCTTTGCCACTCTTGTCTGGTAAGCCAAGAGGTCAGGAGCATCTGGGCCCGGCCTGCCTGTATGTGCTGACTGCTGTCAGCTCGCTGTACCCTGAGCTCCGCTCACACCCACAGGGCTGGAGCCAGGGCCTCAGGCTCTCCCACATGAGGCAGGTGCTGGAGGGTGACTTTGCTCGTGGAATTGATGCGGGCCAGCAAGGGCCGTTCTGGTTGCACCTATGCAGTACAGATGGGGCGGTGAAGGGTTCTGTGCCCCTTCCTCACGTCACGGTAAAAAGAGACCTTTTCATTCAGACCTTGTGCCTGTGCCCTCGGGAAGACACACTTAGAGCAGCGAGAGCCGTCCGTGGCGGCATTTTAGAGTCTGTCATTACAAGACAATCTTGTAAAGGGAAGGTTCATTTCTATGTGTGGTTCCTGTGTATATATTACTAACCATAAAGTTACAATAATATTACTTACTTATCATACACTATTTAAAGGAATATGATGTTGATACAGATACATGGGTTTCAGTTTAGTTAATATACACTGTATTGTAAATGCAGAGAGGAAAGGAGCTGGATGCAAAACTCGGGAGGCATGAAGTGCTGAAGTCATAACACTAAGCCTGCTCTCCGGCCATATTCCTCAGCACTGAGTTGGTAAATACGCCACTCTATGAGGTTCTCAAGCCACTGCCCATTTGGAATAAACACACTTTTTCTTTTGGTTTTTTGAGACAGGGTCTCACTAAGTAGTGCAGGCTGACCTTGAACTCACTATGTAGACCAGGCTGGCCTGAAATTCATGGCAATCCTCCTGCCTCAGCCTCCCACGTGCTGAGGTTACAGAGGTGCACCACCACACCTGACTGGTATAAGTGCAATTTATACTGAATTATTGATTGTAGGGCAGGGTCTCCCTGTGTGCTTCAGGCTGGTCTCCAGCTCTGAGCTCAAAGGCTCCTCCCTCAGCCTCCCCACTCTCTGGTACTCTAGGCACCAGCCATCACAGCTGAGTAGCTTTTGGAGTCTTAAATTTCGTTGTGTTAAAATTTTCTAGGGTATTTTATATTGAAGGGACACAGTTATATCCATTTATTCCTATTCTTTGGTGTTTCCATTTTTAATTCTCTTATTATGTATAGTACAGGAAACACTGTTGGAACAAATATGCCAGGACATGTGACAAACTAGAATATGAAATTCTCTAGGAGATATTTATGCAGTCCAAAGCTGTTCCTGTGAAATCTTGCTAGACATGGCACTATTTCTTTTGGAATCTTCTCAAACGATGGCATGATTATATTTGACTCATTTTTTCTAGACAGATCCAGAGACTTTTTTATTATAAAATATGGGCCACCTACGTGTTTGCATAATGCAACCGTTTTCCTACTCTTTATGTCTCTTACCACATCCTTTCCCACATCTCCACATATTTGTACCAGGTCACCTAAAATTAAGGACTAGCAAAGCAGAGAAAAAGCGAAGGGTGGTGAGGAGGCACTGCTGAGGAAGGAAGCTGACGCTGTTTTTGAGGAATGCTTTACTAGAATATTTTACATGCCTGGCATGTTATTGGTTAGGTACCAGCATGGAAACTGACACGTAATACATTGGCATACAGGTGCAGGTAGGATGCTTTTCACATGCATGACAAATTCCTAACATGAAAAGACCAGTGTCTTCTTCAGAGGTCAAGCATATTTTCCTTTACTTAGCATGGAACTTGTTTCTGTTTCCTTTTTTTTTTTTTTTTTTTGGTATCCAGAATCGAACTCACAACCTTGTGCTTGCTGGGCAGGCACTGTGCTGCTGAGCTACATCCCTGGCTTGTTTCTCTTTCTGCATCCTCAGTGTGTACTTTCTTCTTTTCATCCAATTCTAGAAAACGTGACACAATGTTCTGTTTAACCAAATGTTATTCTGACCCTTCTAGGCTCATATGTGTACTTCCGTGGAAAACACAGTTTCACAAAGAACCCTAGGAGGTCAGTTTTGCCAGAACCATATCCTACTCTCAATCTATGATCGCGTTCCTCAGCCACCACCATCTCCCAGGCGACATACGATCGCTCTGGACGGTCTTCTCCAAGAACCCTGTTATGCCAGCTTAGCCGGAGTCTCCTTTACTGTTAATATTATGTCTGAGTCATTCTCCATCCCCTAACCCTCACCCTCATCCTTGGCTATAAATTCGTACTTGCCCTGGATGTGTCCTGGATTCAACCCAATTTGTCTCCCTGCCTACAAAACCCCGTTGCTGTGGTGCCTGGACCTTTCCGTGACAGTCCTGAATAAAATATTCCTACTATGCTCTGTCAAGTATCACTGAATATTGTTTCTTGTTTAACAGATGATTTGAGGAGGGAAATTGACTGACTCTCCAAATGAGTGACCATCTCATAGGAAAGCCATCCAGGTAAGGATTATTCGTGTTCCTTTTTCATTTCTGTCAGAAAAATGGCGCAATCAGTGCAGGTCTTTACAGTCTTGCTTAGAGGGCGCACAGCTGATTTTCACTCAGAGATGTAGCACACATTAACTGTGCCATGACACGGCTTTTGCGAAGAACTTTCCACAGGATTGGGCACCTAAAGTGTGCTCAATTAATATTAGCATTTATTGTGGAAATTTCTCACATTCATTTATTTTTTAAATTTAAAATGTCAATTATATATTTCTTTTCACCACGAGATATGAACAAAGTGAGACTAATTGTGGCTACATCTCTTCCTTGGAATCCTGCTCCAAAAAACAGGACTGTAGGGGCTGGGGAATTAGCTCAGCAGCACAGCCCTGCCTGGCAAGCACAAGGTCATGAGTTTGATTCCTGATACCGAAAAAAAAAACAAAACAAAACAGGACTTAGGAAGGAAGTGACACAATCAAAGGCTCCCTTTAGAGCATTAAGTATCATTGTCATCCCAAAGCACTTGGCATAGTTCTGGAACTTTAAATGTTCTTTCTTTTTTTGTTTTTTAGATGTTCTTTCTTTGTCAGACCTTCTGCTTTCCTCTGTGGACCACTTTTTGTCCTGCTACAGTGCATGCTGTGGGAGACACTTGGTCTCACATTGACTCTGAGTTAGCTGTTCCTATGAGCATTACGATATTACCATGTATTGTAACAGCTCTGCCTGGGCTAGCATTAAATAATGGTCAGAGCATTCCTTTGGAGAGTGTGAGGTCGGGACATGATACCTTGTAAGGTCCTCACCGTGAGGCTAGAATTTTCTCAGAAGAAATGAAGCCTAGGCTTTTCCTGGAAAAGATGTTTATGGTGTAGCTCAGCAACACAGTGCTCAGTAGTTGCCTAGCATGTGTGAGGCCCTGGACTCATTCCCCTGACCCATAAAACGTGCAAATATTGGAATCAGTGTTGCTGCCAACAGACTTGATGTGAGCAAAGACATGACTGCTAGTGTCCAAGCTCCATACCTAGGAAGACCAAAGGGCTACCTAGGCGCATCCCATTATGAGAATACCTATAGGTCTGAGGAGCGTCCCGGGAAGTACCTGAAAGTACACAGGGTGTGCCCGATGTTGCTGTGGTGGAATGAGGCATAAGAACATCTCTTGAAAGCTTATTTCCGAGTTTCCTTTGACTCGCCGGGGATGTAGCGCAGTAGCACAGCGCTGCCTGGCAAGTGTGAGGTCTTGAGTTTGATTCCCAGTGCTCAGAAAAACCCAAAAACATGTATTTGTTTTCTGGTGCTGTAACAAAAATACTCAAAGCTTGGATTATATGAAGAAAGAAAGAGTTTATTTAGGTCACAGTTCTAGAACTGAAGAGCATGGTGCCAGCATTTGTTCTGCTCTGGTGAGGGCCTCCTTTACTGTGCCTCAAAGTGTGGATGACATCAGAATGGCAGCAAGGATAAGAGGGAGAGGATAGTTATGCGGGAAGAAGGAAGCCAGAGGGTAGGGAGGAGCCAGCCTTGCTCTTCTGCGGTGACACACACTCGAGGGAACCAGTCCCTTCCAAGAGAACACTTAATTCTTTTTAAGGGTGATGCCCCCCAAATCTAAATGCTTCACAGCAGACCCCACCTCTTAAATACCACCACCTTGGGCACCACGCCCCCAGCACGTGAACACTCAGAGCACACCTTCTCTGAGAGACTGCAAACAGCAAAAGAGAGGAAAGGAGGCATCAAACAATTAAGCACAAATATCTGGGAAAACAGTGGGCCCTGGACACACATTAGAACAGCAGGCAGGAAGTCCTTCTCCTGGGAGGACCACTTTACCACCATCTGCTGCAGCAGGGTGTGGAACAGTCTGGACATCAAATGCAGATCTTCTGAACAATTCAACAATGAAACCATTTTTTTTTAATGCGGACAAAGTTAAGGTGCTAGCTCAAATGCAAAGCCCTGTCACTAGGAGGCTTATGTTCATTTTGATCAGTAAGTTTCTGGACAAGAATATGTTATTTCTCTTGTTTAAGTTGTTAGAGATGAAATTTATGGGTTTTCACATGGTAGGCAAGTGCTCTACCACTGAGCAATATCCCAAAACCCACAATTGTTACTTAAAGTGTGACTAGAAGGATGAAATACTACCAATCAAAAGTTTAAAGCCTGAGGGGCTAGGGACTTAGCTCAGGGGCACAGCGCCTGCCTGGCAAGCGCAAGGTAGTGAGTTCGATTCCCGGTACTGGAAAAAATAAAAAATAAAAAAAAATAAAGCCTAGAATTCAGAAATCTTCAGTAAGAGTTTGCTGGAAATTGTAGGAAAACAAAGTTTGGAGAGCTTTTCCCTGAAATACTAAATACCTTCACATGGTAATCTAAGGCAAGGTATATAGTCAATATTTCAGGCAAAAAGCTCTCCATGTTGTAAAAATGTTATTTTTCTACAATTTATTTATTCATTATTTTTGCTAACTTTTATTGAACAATTTTTATAGGGTTTAAGCTTCTGATTGGTAAATTGAGGTGAGAGAATAATCCTAATAAAGTACATTAACCAAAACAGTCAAAAATACAGCATCTGAACAAACAGGAATGTCCAGGTGAGAGTTTGCAGCCAACCAGCCAGAGCACACGCCTGTAATCCTAGCACTCTGGTGCCTGAGGCAGGAGGATCGCCAAGAGTTTGAGCACAGCCTGGGCAACATAGTGAGTTCAAGACCAGCCTGAACTACACAGTGAAATCTCCACAAAACAAATAAATAGTGCAGATGGTTGGGACTAGTACATGTGATATAATCAATGGACTCATCTATTTGAGATGCACTTTCATGAAAGAAAAATGAAGCCCATGTGGTGAGGCACACCTGTAATCCCAGCACTGGGGAGGCTGAGGCAGGAGGATCATTGCAAGTTCAAGGTGAGCCTGGGCTACAAAGTGAGTTCAAGACCAGCCTGAACTGCATAGTGAGACCCTGTCTCAGAAACACTAAAAAAAAAAAAAGAAAAATGCCCAGCTGCATCAGGATGTAATCTAATAGTCCTTAGCTTATAATTGCTACATAGTTCTTTGCAAATTATGCAGGTGTCCATCCTATTTTTATGGTTCATAACATAAAGATGAACGTGTAAATTAATTAATTACTTTAGGTTCCCATAATTATGTTCACAGGCTATATCTAATTCTTCAGTATCAGATTTACACTCAGAGCCACTGAGGTCTGTGATGTTCAAGTCCTATTATCCTCTGCACCTTCCTGGAGATGAAGATGTACCGTTTCAAACTGAAAGCAAAACACACCCCATCTCTGTCCCCAAGAATTCTCTCCAAGATACTGACACCAGTTCTGCAAAGCTTCAGGCTGCTGATTTTACCAGGAAGGCAATAGAAGTTTTGAAACCATGTTCATATATGTAAATCCAATGGCAGTGTACAACCTGAGATACCCTTCCATGTAAGTTGTATTTATTTCCCAGATGGCAAATAGAAGAAACTGTGCATAATAAAAAAAATGATAAAACATAAAATTGAGGCTTGAAAAGGTTCATAAAAGGAGCACTGCTTTCTGCGCTTAGGGAATGTACACAGCAGAGGACAGGTGCAGAGTGGAGAGAAGGAGCAATGCTGCATCACCCGACCGGTGACAGGGGCTGGCTGTGAGGAAGCTGGCTTAGCGGACAGGCAGGATGCGCCTCCTGTAGACCCACTGTTGAGAGGGTGTCTTCTGACTAAAGTCCTGTCATCTTCCAGGAGCCTGAAACAGCACTGTTAAAAAAAAAGAAAAAGGAAACAGCATTGTTTTTGAGCAGCAGTGAAAGAGAGCATCTGCTGTTCTATTTCCACTACTTTTGTGGGGCTTCTGGGGGAACATCATAAAGTTTTCACATTCTCTGAGATTTCAGTCAGTGGGGATTTAGAAAATTGAAATCTATACTGTAGGAAATGACACACTGTAACCCCAGCACGCGGGAGGCTGAGGCAGGAGGATCATTGCGAGTTCGAGGCCAGCCTGCGCTACATAGTGAGACCCTGTCTCAAAAAAAAACAAAACAACAAAAAAAAAAACTGTAGGAAAAAGAGCGGCACCCAGAATTTAGAGGACAGCATCGAGTACAGTATGGCATGGGCAAGGATGGCCTCCTGGAGGAGGAAATGAGAGCATGCTCTGAAGGGTGAGAAGCAGTGACCAAGCAAGTAGGAGAGGGAGAGAGAAGAGGAACAGTACATGGCACAGGCCAGGTCACGAGAAGTGGCCAGGGGGTCTGAGCACAGCTTGGAATGGTCAGCGGTGAGGGGGCAGGAGCAGTAATGGTGGAGAATGGGGAGGAGATGGGAAGGTACGGTAGGCCAGGACGTGACACAGGGGCCGCACACAGAGGATGCATTCTGTGCTGGAGAACTGATAGCCAAAGCATGTTTCTTGACATATTAGCTCAGCCTACATGTCTTCGTATCTGAAGGGTCAGAATAGTGATGCTGGGCCCCGTCCATGCGGAGACTCCTGGGCATCACCACAGGGCTTGGGTGTGGGGAGAGGTGAAGATGCGGAGGAGCAGGAACGGCCCTGTGGCACAGGACAGGAAGTTTTGACCTGGTGGTGGTAGAAAGAAAACAAACCCAAGTGCTACCAATATTCATCCAAGGCTTTTAAAATGGGGCTTTTGACGCCGGAAGTTGTGGCCTATGCCTCTAACCCCAGCACTCAGGAGGCTGAGGCAGGCAAGTTCAGAACCAG